GCAGCAGAAGAGCACACCGGGTGCCGCTCCTGTCAGCTAAGAACAGGAAACTGAGGCTACAATTCACACAGACTCACCAAAACTGGACAACAGAAGATTGGAGAAACGTTGCTGCTCTGATGAGTCTCCATTTCTGCTCACACATTCGGATGCTAGGCTCAACAACATGAAAGCATGGATCATCCTGCCTTGTATCAGCGGTTCAGGCTGGTGGTGGTGGTGTAATGGTGTGGGGGAGATTTTCTTTGGGTCCATTAGTACCAATTGAGCATCAACGCCACAGCCTACCTGAGTATTGCTGCTGACCATGTCCATCCCTTTATGAGCACAGTGTCTCCATCTTCTGATGGCTACTTCCAGCAGGATAACGCAGCATGTCATAAAGCTCAATCATCTCAGACTGGTTTCTTGAACATGACGATGAGTTCACTGTACTCAAATGGCCTCCACAGTCACCAGAGCTCAATCCAATAGAGCAGCTTTGGGATGTGGTGGAACGGGAGATTGGCATCATGGATGTGCAGCCGACAAATCTGCAGCAACTGTGTGATGCTATCATGACAATATGGAGCAAAATCTCTGAGGAATATTTCCAGTAGCTTGATGAATCTCTGCCATGAAGGATTAAGGCAGAAATGAAGGCTAAAGGGGTCCGACCCAGTACTAGTGAGGTGTACCTAATAAAGTGGCCAGCGAGTGTATGTTAAACTAATAAATAAATCTGGTATGATACAGTGTGTGTACAGAGAGCATCAGATCATCATTAAACAAATATCTACATAATAATATGAGTTTCTCCAGAGCTCAGACTCCTACAGTATTCCTGCACTCTCTGAAATAAAGGGACACATCATACACACCGCTCTCTATAACAGAGTGTGTGTCATTGTCTTCCAGCATGAAACGTGCCGCTTCACTCAACTTCCTGAACAAGGCAGGTGACGAGTCCTACCAGGTAACTATTAGAACTCTCTCTCTCTCTCTCTCTCGCTCTGTGTTTCTGTGCACACTGTAGTGTATGTTCATACAGGACTACACTGAGGATGCTGTGGTGTGTGTGTGTGTGCAGAATGTGAGCAGCAGGAGGTTGAGAGACAGCAGAGGACTGAGCTCCAGTAATGTGGACCTGTACAACGGCAGCTGAAGCTCTTCTCACACACACATATACACACACACACACACACACACACACACTCAATACACTGTACAACACACAAACACACCCTGATGCTCACACAGACGCAGAGAGACGGGAGTGTGTTCCAGCAGTCCTGGCGGAGGCCTGATGCCGGCTGCTGGTACTCTATAAAGCCATATGAGATCCTGATGCTGCATTCTGGGAGAGGGACCTGCTGCTGCTGCTGCTTTTATATATATATATATATAGGTAATGATGTGTAAACGCTGCATGTAAAGCAGTGGAGGATGTTACCCGAGTCATATTTGTCTATTTTTATATGTGCAGATGCTCTGTGTAATGCTGATGTGTAGACTGTACGCTGTTATTTTAGGTCATGGTATCAGGGTTTGACTATATCTTCATCGTGAGGGTTGCTGTATTAATATGATCATGGTTTTCAGGCTCTGCTCGGCTCTTCAGGATCATTTGTGTTTCTTTTATTCTGGTTTTCTCTTCATCGTGCTGGCTGGTGTTTGAATGTAAATAGGATTGATATGAGAGAGTCTGAGATCTGCTGGTTTTATAAAGCTGTTTGATGAGTTTAAGTGTTCTCAGGGTCTGAAGAAGCCGAATCCGCTGTTACTTTCACAGCAGATGATATTAATGATGTACTCGACTATACACTGTTTACTGAACTCTCTATATTAATCAGGCCACTCGAGTCCTACAGATGTGCAGGTTTAGGTAAAAAACTAATATATTACAATTTTAATCTGATGTCTTACTCTTTAAACATACAGCATTAGCACATACTCTAACCTGGCTTTCGTTATAAAGAGACTGTTTAGTTCATCTGTCATGTTTAGAAAGTGCTGTGAGATTGGGATGTAGTACCTTTACCTCCAACGCTGCACATGTGGACCAAAGCTGTCGTCAAAGACATTATTTTTCTGGGATATTTGCCTCTTATTTTCGCTTAATCTGTTACCAACGATGCCTTGAGTTACTGCAATGCCCAAATATATGGAGAAAACAGTGTGCTCTCTTTATTAACAGTTATAAATTGCCAAATCTTCCTCCCGCTCAAGAGTGTATTCCTTATTTACCTGTCTCTGTGTGTGTGTGTTGTGTCTGTTAGCAGGTCATGTTCTCCTGCAGCTAATCTTCATTAGACAGATCTGGAGCTCAGAGTAGTTTATTGTTCTAGATTTGTTCTGTGTCTTTAATTAGTTTAATTATATCTCATATTTATGCAGCAAAGCTAACTCAGGGGTGGGCAAACTCGGTCCTGGAGGGCCGGTGTCCTGCACAGTTTAGCTCCAACTCTAATCAAACACAGCTGCTTATAGATTTCTGGTGATCTTGAAGACACTGATTAGCATGTTCAGGTGTGTTTGAAGACACTGATTAGCATGTTCAGGTGTGTTTGAAGACACTGATTAGCATGTTCAGGTGTGTTTGAAGACACTGATTAGCATGTTCAGGTGTGTTTGAAGACACTGATTAGCATGTTCAGGTGTGTTTGAAGACACTGATTAGCATGTTCAGGTGTGTTTGAAGACACTGATTAGCATGTTCAGGTGTGTTTGAAGACACTGATTAGCATGTTCAGGTGTGTTTGAAGACACTGATTAGCATGTTCAGGTGTGTTTGATTAGTGTTGATTAGATGCCGGCCCTCCAGGACCGAGTTTGCCCACCCCTGAGCTAACTGCTTTCACAAAGCGCTTCCCGCCTCAGAAAAGCGCGCGCTGCTGCATAGTTCAAAAACTAACGGCTATTTAACGGAACTAGTTTAGATCAACTGACGAGTTCTGTTTACCAGCGCGCTGAACTGACGGGAAGCAGAGACGCCGGCTTCAGCACTGATCGACAGTCAGCTCTGTGGTACAGATTATTGTTTAGCTGACTTGATTGTTTAATGTTGTAGTAGAGGAATATATATCAATCTTGCAGTTAACTGTTTTGGGATTGATTACACACGGATGGATTATTGTGATTAACAGTAGGGCTCATTCCACCGATGGGTGCCGTTCACCTCTGGAACTCTTCAATTAAACTTTATTTATTTATTACAAAACTGAATTCAATAACAGGATCTTTAAATCTGTACTCGTCCATTTAGGTATAATAATTATTATTATTTAACTTTACACAGATTTAAAGTGTTTGGGTAAAGTTATAGGGTCATGTTGAAATGTTCAATTTGATGTTGGCGACATGAATAAAAGATGCTTTTTATAATAATTTAAATAATGTGAGATATATTTCCATAAACATCAAACTCTGAAAGGGTTATTAGACATTTAGGCTACATGTTCAAGTTACTGAACATCAACAAATATAATTCCTCAATTCAAGACGACCTTCATGTATGACACATAATAACCCATATGATGTTAAACACTTCATTTCACTACAGTAAATGCTGTACACTACACTGAGTTTCGTTCATCACTGAATTATGTTTCAGCGTAATGAAGATTCAGGTCATGATAATTCAGAGGGGGCAGTGCTGTCTGCGCCGCAGCTCGTCTACTCGGATGCTTTTGCTGAATATAGTGTGCACTTTTGAGTGTGTATCATGTTGTTCATGCCTTGTCAATAATTGTGCCACACATATTTCTTTTATGATTTTGCAGCAATACATTAATCTGCCATTCGCTTGTCTTTGGGTTTTCATGGTTAATAATAATCAAAGATCTTCATTAGAGCTCAGCACAGTGGTGCTGCAGATGAAACCTGCACATCTGCACTTTACCGGCTTAGTTTGAACTGTTTGCAAATAAAAACATTAATAAGAGACACTATTGTCTAACATGTTGTCTTGCTCGTTGATCTGTTGTTTAAAATCAATATCACATTTACTGAAGTTCCGGAAAACCTCATTTTGCTTGTGTGATGTTGAATATCTATAAACACAAACCCATGCAGGAATAATCCGCTTTTTAGCTGAATAATAAGCGTATTCTAACTGTATTCCCAAGTTTAATTACAGTCAATTATTTTGCTTTCAGTAAAGTCATTTCTAAATAGTGAAAGATTGCATTATTACTGGAACATGTACAGACATACAGAGGATGGAGACTGCGTTACTCTCACAGCCTGCACTGGTGCAGTATACAAATAACACTAGAGGAGTGCACAATACATAACTCAGAATAAAGATGAAGAGGGAAATAAATACACACAAATACAAAATACAGCAGGTAAAGTGCACATATGAGTGAAGAGAAGACTGATGGTAGGCAAGGCAAGTTTTTTTATATAGCACATTTCATACACAGTGACAATTCAAAGTGCTTTACATAAACAAGAATAAAAGAAACAAGTAAAAAAAATAAATAAATAAAAACAAATAATAAAACTGATTTAAAAACATAAAAACAGGCAAAATGTGATATAAAAGAATGGTTAAAGTGACAGTGCTGTTTTACTGTGTATATTTACAACTCCTCTAGGATTATTATCAAACCTGACTGGATCTACTTGTGCATATTTTAATCATTTATTTATGTGTTCAAATCAGTTTGAATAGGATATAAATAACGTAATTTGTGGTCTATTAGAGGAAGATGTTCTTATGAAAGAAAAAAAAACTACTAACACTTCCCTTCTTAGACTTTACAGACCTGAAACTTGCCTTTAGTACTTATTCATTGTTGCTCTTGGTTGTGTAAATTGCTTCCTTGTCCTCATTTGTAAGTCGCTTTGGATAAAAGCGTCTGCTAAATGACTAAATGTAAATGTAAATGTAAATAATAATCTGCTTTTGGGGGCATTTCACATTCACTGTTCTCTGGATGTGTCTATACTGTAATCCTTTAGGTTTGTTAAAGTCTAAATCAGTTTATTGGAGAAATTTAAGCGTGGTAAATGTTTGAGTTATGTTCTGTTTATTATACTTTATTATTCTATTTTTCATCGTTAATCTTTATTGTTGTTAAATGTTGATGATGATGTTGATGATGAAGGTGTTTGTGTGAATTTCGCCTTACTGTCATTGTGTTATTGCAATATTAATAATGAAGTTTAAATATGATTAGCTGTATTCTTTATGATTCTTTTCCATGGTTTTGGACACTGGTATTCCCGGTTCCGCCAGCGGGATGCAGCACTGCACCGGTTTTTACCCAACTGAGGCTGCTGAAACCGGAAGCTCTGGAAAAAGAAAGAGAAATAGAGAAACGGAGAGAGGGAGGGAGAGAGAGAGGTAGAAGAAGGGAGCGGGGCGTCTGAGCCCGGGAGAGAGTGACCGACCGACCGACCCGCCGCTGTTCCTTCAGTCGCTTCTTTGATCCGCGAACAAACACCGGACACACACCGACACACCTGCCGCTCACCGCCGACACACACACCGCGGTGGAGCAGGAGGATATCAGACACATTTACACGCTCTTACTGGGCGGATAGCGGCACCTGAGCGTCCCCGGAAAACATGGACGGATCACCGCGGTGCGACACCGAGAGGAGCGCCGGTCCCCGCGGAAGGAGACGGAGATCCAGCGCGCTGCTGGCCGCCCTGACCCTCTGCTCCAGAGGTAAGAGGAGGAAACTACACTCACTCTGGGTTAAAGACAACCAACCTGACGAGTTCACCACAGTTACCTGACTCAGGTGTGTGTGTGTGTGTGTGTGTGTGTGTGTGTGTGTGTGTGTGTGTGTGTGTGTGTGTGTGTGTGTGTGTGTGTGTGTGTGCTGAGCAGGGAAAGTTTCATGTGTTGTGTTCAGGTGTGGTGTTCAGGTGTGTGTGTGTGTGTGTGTGTGTGTGTGTGTGTGTGTGTGTGTGTGTGTCATGATCAGCTCTTGGTTTCCCACAGAGATGGACTCATTGTTCACATGAGATGGTGTTGGTGTTGGTGTGGGAGTGAGCGGGTTATAGACTGATGGTGTCTCTGTGGAATCAGCGTGTTTATATAGAGATTATCATGTTTAATGTATACCCATACTCTTCTCTATACTATACACTATATTTCCACACACTGTCTGGATCATATTAAGAGCACGTGTATATGAGAGAAAGAGTGTAGTTCTGTAGTAAGAGTGTGTTTGTGTGTTAGAGCGTATGGTTGTGTATTATGAGCCTGTTTATATAGACTGAGTGTTTTAGAAAGAGCCTGTTGATATAGAATAAGCTTATTTATATCTATAGTGCAGTCATATTCTCTGTGTATTTACATAAAACTTTATACTTGAGATATATATATATATATATATATATATATATATATATATATATATATATATATATAAAAGCATTATCTGTCTATATATGTCTCTCTGTGTGTATAGAAGGTGTGTGTGTGTAAATATGAATGAGCATGTTTATATGAGGAGCATGATTGTCTATGATTTTCCCCATGTGTTGCTCAGTGGATGTGCTGTATCTATAATCATCAGTGGGGATGTGGTTTATTCTCATGCTGGTGTAACTGAGCGCTGTGGTTGAGACACACATTTGCACACGTTTGCGCTGGTGTTGTTGTGAATGTGGTGTTTGTGGATTAATCTTGACTCATTTGAAGACTAATGAATGTTTCTGAGTTTAGAGTTTAGTAACTGAGGGAAACACTGAATATTCTATTAACTGAAATGAACCGCTTCATCAGTCAGATGGTGTGGAGCGCTCATCTCTGCATGTTTACCACACCGTCAGTCTGTCTGCTGGTGGAGCGGGATATTTCTCCATGACAGAGAAACAGATGGAGCTGTGGAGGAAAAGCTGTCCGTTTCCCACAGCCGTGATGATCAATATGCAGAAATCACAGAGCGTCAGGAATCTTTTAGAAAACTGTGAAGTGGGAATCCTCCTCCATCAAGAGCTGAGTTTTTATTTAAAGATGTGAGCTGAGTGTGTGTGTGTGTGTGTGTGTGTGTGTGTGTGTGTGTGGAAACAGCTCTTGATTGGCAGAAAGCGTCCGCTGTGTCAGCAGTTGTGGGCTTGTGGGATTAACATGTTTGACAAGCAGGAATTGGATTATCATGATCCGCCGTCAGCTCTCTGACAGACGATGTGCTGAATGACTTTTCCATCATATTTCAGTGGGAAACGGGAAGCGTTCATTCACACAGAAAGG